GCACTTGTCATGGGAAAATATAGTAGTTTTTGAATGATCAAGGACATAATTTCAGAAGAATGGAAAATTGCTTCACCTTGTCAGAATGATGGTGATCTTAGTTCCATTCTAAATATGAGATTTGCACTAGACACTATATTTATTAGTTCTTTGACTACAGCTACAGGAATGTAACTATCAAACTTTATGTATTTTTTAATAATATGAAATTCATCAATCAGATTTATGTCTATGGAGGAAATGGACTGAATGCTTAATTTTTAACATTTTTATAACAATCACTGTTTGGATTTCCTGCTGGTTGTTAAGGAGGAGTGGTGAGTGCAGGCCATGGAGCCTGCCAGTTATGCAGTTGGGTTCCTGTGAATTGCTGGTGTTCTAGACTCATGCTGAATGCCTGGGGTGAAGGGTTTTTCAGAGTCTATTTCCAGAAATGGCACAGCAAGCACAACTCACACACACTGCTGCTTTCACACACTGGGCAGCCTTGGGCAGCCACACAAATTTAGCCAAGTGATAATGTGGAGTGATGGAGTTGGTCTGCACAGCAGTGTGTCCGTGGGCTCACAGTAATCTGTATTGCCAGCTCCATTAGGTGTGGCTCAGCGTGCTTATCATGTAATGTAGTTCCTTCTTTGAAGGGCCTATGTGCTGTCATGGCCCAGCACCATGTATAAACATAATGCTGAGGATCATAAGTTAAGGATCTGATCTCCATTTTATCTCTTCAAAATCTAAGAAACTGGAAGAATTGGAGAAAGAAGAAGAGCTGAGAGAGGCTGCTGGAGTATATGACAGTGAACCAGAAAGTGAAGATGAAGAAATGATGGAAATCAGACACTTGGCAAAACAGATCCGAGAAAAGAAGAAGCTGAAAATCCTGCAGTCAAAGGAAAAAGACGTTCATGGTCCAAGGATGCCTAGAACAGCTAAAAAGGTGAGTGTAGAACATGTTCTGTAAAAACATCTTGTTGCTATATAACAACATCATGAAAGTATTGTATCACTGTCTGGTAGTGGAACTGATGCTTTTTGCTCATACTAGTGAAAAGTGGCCCTTTCACTGCTTGCTTCCTTCTCCCAGGAGTTTTGTTTAGCTGAGGAGGGATAGTAGCCCTTTTTTTCTTTTGTGTCACATAAATATGTCTTGTGTAGAACTCCATATATATTGCAGAAGAAATTTTTAATAATATGATTCAGTTTGTTTAACATGGTTGTTTCATTGTATATTGTCTGTTTGCTTAAAATTCAAATAATTATAAGAATTAGATAATTACTTAAAATCACAATAATGTAAAATTTGTTATAGGTTCTGGAAAAGGTGATGTGTTTTTCTGGTAGTCAGGTATCTCTCTTTCTGATGGCAGAGTCTCTTCTGACCAGTCCAGGACAATTGCAAAGTAATAAACTGGTAACTAGACATTTTGAGAAAATGAATCTAGCTGCTGTTGCCCCCAGCATCTCTTACCTTCTCCAGAGCGCGTGCCTTTTGGGAGAAAAGGAAACATTTTTGACCAAACTGCCTCTCCATGTCAGCTTCTCCCCAAAAAGGCAAACTAATTGTAAGGTCTTTAGGAAAGATGGAACCATTGCAGTCCTGTGAAGCAGAATTTATGGGTGCAGAAAAATAACTTGCAAAAAATGAAATGTGAAGGTAGGACATCAGTGACCTGCTTATGGATGTGATAAAGCCAGAAATATATAGTGACTATAATGGACTTGTGGTGGTATATTGAGACATAAAGTAAGGTGGAAGGATTTTTTTTTGAAATGTGTTTTCTTAACTGTGTTTTACAGGTCCAGAGGAAGGTGTTAGAGAAAGAAATGACTGATCTTGGACTTGACATGACCAATAAAGATGATGTAAGTTTTTGCTAATTAAACATAATATTTATCTAAAAGAGACTTAAATTTCTTTGAGGACAGTTGAAATGCTTACTGTAGTTAGCACAAGAGCGAGGTGGGATCTATTAAGGATGAATTAGGAACTGCAGATGAGGCAGTTGGTACTGGAATTTTTTGAGTAATGTGATCAAAACATGGATAAGCTGAAAAACTAACATTTATCAAGAATCACGTATACATATGCACTGCTTTCTTGGAAATTGTGTAGGATTCAAGAACATGTTTGGCTAAGCATACTCCTTAATTTTCAAGTCTACTTTGTTGGATGAGACTCTACTATATCAGAAATAGTAATAGCAACAGATCAGGCCTATCTTTTTATAGTTCATTAATTCCATGAGCTGTAATTGAAGTTTTTGAGGGCAGCTGGCATCTTTAAATGTAAGGCAGATAAAGTACTTCATCAGAGACTGGCCTTCAGTAGGCATTTTATTTTAACAGAAATTAAAAAACCCTGAAACATTTTGTATGGCAAATCCAGCAGTTATTACAGCTCGCTGGACCCTGAGCTCTCTAATCCTTTAGCTAAACAAGGAGTCAGGAAACAAGAACTGTCAATATTACACATATGAAGCAAGCATTTATAGTTCTCAGAGCTGCCATGCCATGCTGGTGTAGGAGCAGTGTAGGAACGTAATACTTGAGCTGTAACATGAGCAGTCTTCATGTCTGAAATTCTTCAGGTACTTTGCCCAGTACACAAGACAGTAATATCATCATAACTATTTTGCTGTTGCAAAATTGCTTAAGTGTTGCTATCCTTTAATTTGTATCTTTTTATTGATTACTTTTGAGTCTACTCCACCCAAAGAAAAAAGAAAAAGCCAGTCAGTAATTGTGGAGGAAAAAAAGCTAATATTCACTGAAATTTGAATGTTCCTGTAGGACAGAGAGGCAGTGACCAACAGCTGTCAAGATATTTTCGTTACTATGCAATAACCAATATAACTTACCACAGCAGTCCACTTCCTGTTTTTCCTATTAGTCTGATTAGAAATGAGCTGGTTGTTTCTGGCTTTAAAGGTTAAATGACGTTTTCATTTTCAGGCCCATTATGTGAGAAGGTCACGCAGTACCACGAGGAAACGCAAACGGGATGAGTCTGAAACCCCCAGGTCTGCGTCACGCAGTCGCAGCTGCTCTCGCACACCACGGGATGTGTCTGGCCTTCGGGATGAAAAGGTTTGTTATTTATCTGTATTTCCCCGTTTGGCAGCTAAACCAGCATGATTGTACCTCGACCAGCTCCTGGGAATCTTCACAGTAGGCTGGTTATGTTTGTCCAGAGTTTGTGTTTGGTCTTCCTGCATCATCTTTTCATTTGGACTCCATGTTTCTCTACTTCCTTCTTACAAATAACATGTAATGATACAGACCAAGGAAGTACATTTTAATTCTTGTCTCCAAATGCAAGTCTGAAGGAAGAATTTTGCAAACTGAGTTTTGCCTTCACTAAGTGAGGAATTCCAGGGATAGCATAATCCTGTGTTAGTGTCCTGGAAAGTTTTTCTAAAGAGGGTCAGTGTCACAGTGATACTGCTCTAGAGTTGATGTTAATGTCCTTGAAAAACCATCCAACTTAGTGGGTTTTTTAAAGGTAAAGCTTTTTACCCAAGTTACTGAGGAAGTTACTCTGCATGTTTGTTTGTTTGTTTGTTTTTAAATAGATGGTGAAGAAGGTTAAGATCATGGCAAAGAAAGCTCAAAAGAAAATGAATCGCCTGGGCAGAAAAGGAGAGGCAGACAGGCACATATTTAACTTGAAGCCAAAACATCTGCTGGCTGGGAAGAGAAAATCCGGTAAAACACAGAGAAGATAAGCAGTCCTTTGAATTAAAATTAAAAACCAATTAAAAATAAAAAAATTAAATCAAAATTAAATTTATTAGACCTGATTTCTAGTCCTGTCATCCTTTTTGGTAATACTTGGTGTTAAGTGTGTCTTTCATAGTAGTAGTTAAGATACTTCAAGTTTAGTATTTCAGTAGCTTAATGTTGCAGTTTCAAGCAATACCAGGAGAAATTTTTCAATTCTAGTGGCAGAAACCATTTATAAACAGACATAAAAAATACTTTCTTCCATATTCTTATTCCTGAGTTTCATTTATCAGTAAAATATTTCTACACAAAATTAATTTAAAATGAGGTTAAATCTGGAAATGTGAATCCTTTGTTAAACTACCATTAATTAAAAATGCCTGGGTTCAGTAAGGTTTGGATTGCTGCATGCAGGTAATCCTTTGTGATGAGTTTATGTTGCTGGGGAAGGCTGAAATGGTTGGGCAGAGCATCAAGAACTACACAAAGTTTGTGTTTGTGCACTGAAGCACAGGAGCAGTGCTGCCACTTGACTGAGCTACAGGGTAAATGGAGGAGAAACTGCAGTTCTAGTACTAACCTGCCGCCTGTAATAACCTGAAACAGCAGGGGCAGGGACAGTTACACCTTACAACTTTTGAGTATTTCAGATTAATATGAATACTTCAAGTATGTAGAGAATGAGGATCAGATTGAAATTCTGTGCCACGTGCTACTGTCATCCTTGGCTTAGCAAGACATTTCTCTCTAGGACTTGGTAGACAAAATTCTGTATCTGCTCAAGGTAAAATATATTGTCAAATGTAAAATATTTCCTTTTTATCCCCACTTGGTCAATGGTTACGTAGAGGTTTGTAAAATAATGCATTATAAATGTGTTGCTTGAGCAGTACACTTGAAATCCATGCTAAAAACTAACACGTACCACCCAAATTAAAGGGGGAAGAAAGAACCCTCAAATCACTACTTCTTGAAATACAACCAGTAACTGTTCAGATGTCAGCTTTTGCATTGTGTAAAACTATAGGAACTGTTAAGCAAAACTTTTCTTTCAGCTTCTGTATGCACAGGACTTCTACTTGAGAGTCTGTTTTTCCAGCTTTTGCTCCAAGCTGAACTTGAAAACCAGAACTTTTTTCCAGCAGATCTGTGCCCTGCTGCCCTGCTCACATCAAGCTGCTTCAGTGGTGCTTAACGGGCAGGGTAGTGCTTAGTGTGGCAGTAACAGAAATTATTCTCCATGTGGCTTCATGTCTGAAAAGAAAACAGTCCAAGGGTTTAGGCAAGGTGTTTTAATTATAAAGTTAGATTTGAAACTTATTTGAGAACTTCTCCATTGCCTACAGCTGGGTAACATGGCTGATTGCACTAAATTCAAGAGAGCTGCTACATCACATCACTTCCCTCACCTGATACTTGGTTTGAAACAATACATCAGTTCCAGCCCATACACAACAAACCTGGTTCTAAAACCTCGAAGTGTTGAACCACTGGAGGTGCTGGCATATGGGAGCTTCAGTGCTACAGTCACAACAGGGATGAGAAAGAGTTCATTTTACCCCAAATCCAGACAGAATCGTTACCGTGTTTACATGGAATGATAAGTGGTATGACAAACATCCTATTTCAACAGGCTCTGGGAGAACTTAAAAAATCTAGTTTGAGTAGCATGCTAACAGAAGAAATCACAAACTTTTTTGAGGCCCTTCCCTCCACACCCCCAGACTATAATTAAAATTGAAGCACCCTTTAATATTTGTCTTAGTGAAAAAAGCCTCCTAAGTTACTAGCAATTGATTGACTGCAAGATCAAAAAGGATTAGCTCTGGTACTCTGGTACAATTTCTAATTAACTGACATCAAGACCCAGTGTAAACCCACAAATTGTCAGTCTCGAATTTTGGGGTTCAGTGGGTTTGAGTTGTCTGGGAACAACTATTACAGGAAAAGAAAAGCCCTTGTACCAAGATGCCTTTGTTTTCTGGAAAATGGAGAAGAGCCATTTAGTCCATATCCCCTCTCCAAAAACAGACTATTGACATCAGACAGATACCATTTACATTTGCTTTGTAATTAACCCTTTTTTAAAACATGAGATACCCAGTACTCAGCCATCAACTACTCAGAAAAGCCTGGTGAGGGAAAAAAACCCACACTGTTTATTATCTAAAACTAATATATGTGTCAGCACTTCAAGGTCAAACTTACTCCACACAGGCAATCCAATTACTTAAGCTTTTATGGGTTTGGTTAATTATAGAGTACAGTAGCTGAAGAGATTTGCTTTCTGCAATCAAAAATAATCCTGATTACTTTGAATTGTTTTTCCTTCTGGCAACTGGTCTTCTCAAGATCACAGCAGAGCCCAGTCGTGTGTAATCACTGTTTAAGGTGTGGTTAAGTTCAGTAGAACACCCCAGTCCTCCTGCCTGAGCTGGGCAGGAGGTGCCCAGGCTCCCTCCCAGGTGTGCGGGGAACACACAGGCTGAGGATCTTTCACCAGGAAATGCAAGAAGAGGAACCCAGGGGTTTCATGCCACTGTTACCCATTTTACATGAGATCTTAACGGGCCCAAGAGAACCAAGAACTAGGGGGAAGAAGTGACAAAGACAGAAGAAAAAACATTGGCCATGACAACATCTGTATAAACTAAACATGCTCCATGTGGACCAATTCTCTGCACTTAGGTCATGATTGGACAGTGTTAGTGAGACAACACATCATTGCTAGCATTCAGCACCTTTTATCCCAGCTATTTACATTCGGTGTATTTTTTCATGCTCAACAAATTTGTTTAAGTTATCCAAGTTATCCCACCACTTAAAAAGAAAGGTCTCTGCTATCAACTTGAACCATGGAGTAATCTTAACTTCATTCCTGGCAGCTTTGTCCAAGAGCTGTTTCAGTTCTTTCTGTGTCACATAGCAGTAGCTTTGGATCTCGTTGGGGTTGGGATTCAGTGTCACATCCTTCTTCACAAATAAGATATAATCTATCTCATGTTCTCCCCAGATCCCATCAGACTTGGCCTTGTAGTGAATTCGTGTCAGGTAGGAGATTTCTTCTGGAGTTACCTACAACCAAAACAGCTGTCAGAAGTACTGCCAGACCAGGAGAATTGCGCTGCTGGGCATTGCAGTACAATTCATCACCTATTATTGTTATCTTCCTTAGAAATAATTTGTTCCCAAGTGTACAACTGCAATGCACTTTTTCACAAAGAATTACTAGGAAAAAAATATTTTAAAGCAGTTTGATGGCATGAATTGCACAGCATTTCTCTAGCCAGACTCACCCTGTAATGCCTGGAGTGCATTCCTCCCATATGGTATGCTTTAAAGAATGTTTACCAGACTTTATTGCACACTCACTGAGCACTGGTGAGCACAAACACTTGCACCTACCCCTCACCTCACAAGGAAAAGACTTGAAAAGACCTGAAGCCAAGGTCAGAACCACGTACTGACAGAGCAAGTGTAACCCTGCCCTCCAGGGATCTCTGGAAGTTGACTCAGTTCTCTGCATCTCCAAAGATAAATTCATTTTCAGGTTTGAGGCTGACCCTGTCTGCCAGGCACAGTCTGTCAACAGGCAAACGCTGGCAAGAATTCCTGTTTCTCCCTCCTTCCTTTTACCTGCTCCATGGGAATTCCCAGCTCTGCTTTCATTCGTCTCTGTGCTGCTCTCCGAACACCAATGGCTTCATTTTCTTCCAGTTCTTGTGGATGGCTTAGGGGATGACTGCAACAAGTGTTGGTAAAACAATCTGCAAGAAGTTTGGATCAGTCCATTTTTGACACATATATAGATCTGGTAAAAAACCCCAGCACCAAAATCCCCCAGAGACAAAGGCTTTTATTCAACACATCACAGCTTCATTTCTCTTTTGCAGAGAAGGGTCACAGAAAGAGGATATTTACACCTCTTATTTTCCTTTACATATTTTGCACTGGGATTTGCCTCTGCCATGCACTACTTTGCAGGCTAGTGTTTGATACACATGAGAACAGGCACTTCTATCCCAAACACACCTGCTTAGAGAGCCAGTCTATAAAGACCTTGTTTATCTCTCAAATGCTAATTAAAATTACTTTTGGGAGTTTATATGTAACAGGATAATGAAAATATTCCCATAGCTTCAAGAACAGCTGGCAGTAAGTAGAATAAAACACAAAGTTTATACCTGTGTTTAAAAGGCAACTGATCCATACTCTGTTTCAAACTTTTGTCTATAAAAATCAAGCTCAAAAAGCATCTAAAGTAGAATTAGAATATCTACAAACCACATTTGAGCATTTTGACTGGTTAGCAGAGAAGGAAAAAATTAAAAACAATCTCTAAAGTAAAGATTCCCTGGGAAAAAAGAAAAAGGTCTTCCTCTAGTTGGAAACACTTGATTTTGTTTTCCATTGAAAATTCTGCAACAGGCAACTTCATGCTCCCTCCAACATGCCTCATATATGCTATTTCTATTTGATTCCCTTCCTTATTTTTATGCCTCTCCATTTGCATTTGACAGTAATACTTCAGGAGTGTTCAACAGTCATACACTGCACTTTGGCCACACAGTCTCACTTCTGGCAGTGTTAAAGAAGTGTTAAGAAAACACAGACAAAGGTCTACACATCTCCCAGGCACCTGGGCTCTGCTGCACATCAGCTTTTACCAGTGGAATGGGCCACTCTCCACAGCCAGCAGAGCCATTTCTTCAGCTGCAATAAATGTCTTGCAGCAGAGGGGGTAAGCACCACACCCTCTGCCCTTGCATCAACAGGATCAAGCATGTCAGAGAACAACCATTTCCCAAGAATTCATATAACAACACACGAGCGTTCCCATTATCTTACTTCACCCACAAGATATCTTGAACTCTCAAGAGTATTGGAAGTATGTCCTTCCAAAGTAGTAAATTCTAAAACCTCAGAATGAGTTACACTGCAGGATTGGATTGACATTTTTTTAAAAAAATATTGATCTAAATAAAACATTTATATAAAGACAATGTTTCAGTACTAACCTGGAAATGTAATTTTTGCATTTGACCTCTGTTGCAGCAACAGTTTATTTTCCGTATTAAATAAGAAAACACTGAAAGCTCGGTGCAGTAAACCTAAAAATAAAACAAACAACAAAACAAAATTTAGTAGAAGAGAAAAAACACATGAAGGCAGTTAAGGGCTTATAATGGCCTCATTTTTACATAATGCAATTTAAAAGTCACTATATGTTAATTTGATTTAAGGGATTTGATAAATAACTCAAGAGCTATTATTCGGGTTTATATGCCAGTTTATGCAAGACATGAAATTAGAAGAGTTCCTAGAAGAAAAATGCAATAGAGGAGTTCTTCTAAAGTCAGTCAGTTCACCATTCTGAATGTGCACATTTGGGCAAGCTTCCAAGGACAGCTTGACACCCATAAATTTACAATCAAAAATTCCGAAAAACTTTTTGGAATTTCAAGACCCTTCAAGAATTTCAAGAGTAGAAGGAAAATAGGCTCCATTAAAAACAGTATAACTGCTGTTTTCTTCACGTTTTGAGTCTGTTATTCCTTGCTCTTCAGGAAGATGCTTTCCCCAAGTACAAAAAAGAGATCACACACTACCATGAGAGACTGTTCAATCTGACCAGCCTCAAGTAAACCCAAAATTAGTTAAACCCTTTCTTATTAGCAGTGTTTGAAATAGAACTCTGGATGAACTACTTTAAAATGAAATAATTTTCTACTTGAAAAGACCTCAGCAAAGAAGCAAACAGCATTCTTTAGAAAAATATACATAGAATCAGGTATCCATAATAGGAAAAAATTCTCCTTTATCTTCAAAACGTGATTAAAAATATTTATCAAGCTTGTATGTGCAATTACACATTCCTCTCCTTTGCAATTGCCTTCAATTGAGTATTCCTCCATTCTGCAGAATTTTAACATTAAATATTTTATGCTGAAGAGGGCATATGGGGAGGTACTTACACTGGTTTGATCCAATACTCACCTGAGATTAAGGCTTAAATAATAATTATTTTTTTTTCATAATTTAATCATGACTACGCTTCTGAAAATATTTAATCAACTTAATGGTTCTTATTAGAAGAATGCTTATTAGAAGATAAGCAAGCCATACCTTTGTCAATGTTTTCATTCAGGTGACAGTTTTTCTTGGTCTCTGCTCCAATCTTATTGTCATTTTCATCAATAAGGATGCACATCTCTGCCAAGAGCTGCACCTGCTCTTCATCCAGGTGATCTGTGTTTACTTCAGGCATTGTGGTGGTAGCACACGTTCTACTGAACACAGAAAATGAAGAGTCATTCACTAAAAACAACATCCATAAGGTTCTGGGCACAGTGTGAGAAATAACCTAATGGCTTGTTTCTCTGACATGGTCTAAACTGCACACCAATTTTATTTTGAGATGGTTTACGTACTTTTAACTTCCTGACATTTCTTATCCACAGTACAAATCACATAGCAACACTTGGCAGGTGCTTGAAACATTTTTATTTCTCAGGAAGCCCTTGCAGCAGCTGCTGCAGGACACCCATGCTGAGCCTAACATTTTTATGGGCTGCCAGTGGCAGTAACTCCAGTTCCGAACTTCAAGATGTGCACCACTAACTGGCTACATTTATAACCCCGGACATGCCGTGCAAGAGGATTTCTCCTCCCCACACGTCTTTAAAGGTTCGGTAACAGGATTTCAACCCGAGGCACATCCAAAGCAACACCTGCCCTGCCCCGAGCCTCTGCTGCTGTGGGCGTGCTCCCGGCAGCCCAAAGAATCCCGGGCTGGGCCAGCTTAGAAGGGACCACACGGGACCTGGCGACCCTCCCTGCTCTGTCTGGGTCAGCCCAGAGCACAGGGTTGCCCTCAGATAGTGCTGGAGTATCCCGGGGAGGGAGGCTCCGCACCGTCTCCGGGCAGCCTATTCCAGCGCACGGTCACCTGCACAGTAAAGGCGTCCTTGCCCACGCTCCGGTGCAAGCTCCCGTGCATCAGTTTCTGCCAGCTGCCTCTTGTCTCACTGCTCAGCAACGAGAATCATCCCCTTGGCACCTCCCCATAGATATTTGTAGATATTAATGTCTCCTCTCAGCTGTCTCTCCTAGAGGCTGAACAGACCCAGCTTCCTCAGCCTTTACTTTTAAGAGATGTGCCTTCATGACCTTCGTCACCTTCCCACAGACCCGCTCCAGGAACTCCACGTCTCTGCTACGGAGGAGTCCAGAGCGGGACACAGAGCTGCGGATTGGCAGGGTCCCCGTTCCCCGCTCACCTCGCTGTCCGTGCGCTCGGCTGCCGCCGCTCTCCCCTCACACCGGGACCGCTCCGAAGGGCCGCGCTCCCGGCCCGGAGCAGCGCGCGCCACATCGCTCGTCACACCCCACCCGCCAATGGCACCGCCGCCCGGCGCTGACGTCACGGCATCGCCCGATCGCCCCACTGCGGCGCGGGGGGCGGTGCCAGCAGTGACAGGTGGGAGAGGCGGAGCGCGCGGCCAATCGCGACACAGCCCCGGAGCGGAGCTGGCCAATAGAGACAGGGAGTAGCGACGAGCTGGCCAATAGAAACAGGGAGTAGCGACGAGCTGGCCAATAGAAACAGGGAGTAGCGGCGAGCTGGCCAATAGGAGCGGGGAGGCGCGGCGGGCGGGATGTGCGGTGCCCACGGCCGGCACAGAGGAGGGTCGGGATCGGGCTCCCTGAGCAGGGAGGGGCCTTTGGCTTCTGAGGGTAACGGGAATCGCAGAATCAATGAGGCTGAAAAAGGCCTCTGAGGTCATCGAGTCCAGCCTATGACCGGACACTGGCATGTCAACCAGACCATGGCACTGAGTGCCACATCCAGTCTTTGCGTAAACACCTCCAGGAGCAATGACTCCACCACCTCTCTAGACATTCCAATGTCTAAAGATTGAATATTTCTAACATTCATGGCTGTTTATTGTCTTTTCACCCACCCACGAAAACCGAAGAACTGTGCTCAAGCACCGGCTCCTACAAATGTGCCGGTGTTTGTGGCAAACAGCTCCAGCGCCGAATTTCTGCTCGGTTCTGGGAGTGCTTCAGGCGGCGGCCATAAGCCCGGGACTGCGGAGTCACAGGTCTTTTTGGCACATTTAATCCTGGATGCTTTTCTTTGCTCGCAGTAGCGTCCCTCGAGCTGAAGGGGTTCAGCGTGTGCCGCACAGCTCCCAGCCTGTGGCAGGGGAGAGCGCTGGTTCCCCTTCTGCACTGACAGCTACAGCTGGTGGGAAGCAGTTCCTGGGCTAGTCAAGCTCTGGAATTGCCTGACTCAGCTCTTGAGGGGCAGACAGAGAAACAGTTTCTGGGTAGGAATGGAGCACAGGCAAGATGAACTGGTCAGATAGGGGAGTTTAGGTACCGTTATAAATGCATATCATATTATTGGCTTTTTGCAAGTATTATAATGAATGTTTTATATATAAGATTAGAAAATTTTGTTGTATTAATATAGTTTCCTTTATTTCTGTTATCGATGAAACTTAGAAATAGTGGTATAATACATATATGTTAGGCTATAACATGATATTAAAGCACAAACTACTTTTTTGTTTATATAACCCAGAGACTAAAAAAGAAAAGAGTCAGAGACCCCCCTGCATCCTAAGATTATCTTGTCCAGATGAAGACAAGCAGTCTGCCAAGCCCTCCAAAGGAAAAATTTATGGCACCTGTTATCGAAGGACATAAAACCTAGTTGCGCCAAAAAGATTGATCTATTGGGAAAGAGGGCAAGGAAAAACTAAACAGAGGAACACCAAAAATCCTAAGAAGAATGTCTGAATATGTATGAGAGTTTATGGATATGTAGTAGGACTCTGTTTTTAAGGGACAATCCTTTGTTAGTAAGGTGTGCTCTCTTGGCTGAATGCAGAGACACCTGGCCGTATCTGTATACTTCATTGTTATCTCCTAATTGTCTTTTTATTAAACTTTTACATTCTATAAAAAAATATGTGAACCCCGTTTTTCACAGATACACACAGATAACAAACTAGAAAAACTTCAATACCAGCCTCTAGAAACTTCACACCACCATAGCTGAATACCTTCTCAGTAAGACTTTTGCTGGTTTATTGCTCGTCCACAGAGTTGGGTTTTTCACCGGATGCCATAAAAAGCTTAGAAATGACATTTTACATGTCTTGGAGGCATGGCTCACTCTGAATCCCTCTCAGCTCAAGTTCCAGCATTTCAGTCTGGTTTACTTGATTTTTCCTGTGAACAGGACAGATGGTCTGTCACTTATTGATATCATTAACAGCACAAATGTTCAAATGGTTAATATTTTACAGGGCAGTGGGGAGGGGGGTTATCTTACAGCATTCCCCTGTGCAGAGCTTGCTGAAAGAAAGAAGAGTGGAGGTGATTTGAGTGAAGGCCACTTGAAACCAGCAGAGCACCAAACCAAAAAAAAATAAAATACTGTAACAATGTGTTGGCTGCTACACATCCTTTTAACTACACAAAACATAACAAAAATATTAGATTTAATGTTAATATTGTGTTATTAATTAATAAACTACAAATTTAATGTTATCACAAGAATGTTGATAATAAATATGTACTCTCAGAAAGGACAGATATGTACACTGATTACTTTTTATTGAGTTTACTTTTCATTACTTTACAGATTACTTATTGCTGAGTCACTGGTACAAAAGCACAGTAACTGGAGACTGAGCTTTGAAGAAATACTGCGAACATCCTTCGCCACACTGATCACTCGTTTCATTGTTCCAGATAAAAAAAACCCCAAACTGTAATTTTTTTTTCTTCTATCACGTTTCTAAAGTAACAAAACAATCTACAGAGATCTATAAAAAAGCAAAACTACTGAGATGGGCATACAAACCAGCATTTCATATGATGATAACAGAGTTGACAAGAAGCTCTCCTGTGAGTGAAGCTCTTTTAGAACAGAAAATACTCCCCTGGGAGGCAGAGATGTGTCTGTGCTTAGGGCACAGCTGGCACTGGACATTAGCAAGAGTGCACAGTGACCTTCAGGCTACACAGCAGAGCAAAACCAGGAAAAATGTCCTTTCAGATGATAGAGAAAAGAGGCTTTTCTTCCTAGTAATAACTACTTAAAACTTCTATACAGCACTTTAGAACCTGACAGTCAGAAACAATTACATTTCCTGTCTTGCACAGACAAACAAAGCACTTCACCTGAGTTAACACTGGTGAGCAGCAAGAAGTGACAAGTCCTGGTGGATAACGAGAGGCAAAGAAGCAGGGGCAAAGGATGACAGAGACAAAACAAACAATTTTCACAAAACAAACAAGGGAGAGACTTCCCAAGCTGCTAGCCAGATACTTTCAGGATCAGGTATTTTATGTCACCTGTATCATCTTTTCTTTTGCTCCCCTCCAGACTTGCACTGCACCTTCAAAACTCTTTGTGCTGAAAATAAAGCATGCTAATTTTTTTAATGGTATGCACTTCACTGGAATGTCACAACTTCTACTTCACCCTGCATAAACAGAATCCTTGAAGTGACATACAGATGCTTTTGAGACTTAATTTTTGCATCTCCTGAAGTTTGCTGACTGTTTTCAAACACTCAGCTAACAAGAGAAAAACAGTTTCCTGTAACAACTGGGAAGTCTTCATTCACCTGAAAATCCAACTATCTGCAAACCACTGACAGGCTTTTGGTGTCTGCTAAGAGAAAGAGAAGTGCAACCCCCACCAAACTGAAGGAAAACCTTTTAATTCTCCAGCAAGTTAAACAAGATGATAAACTACAAGATGAAATAAATGCTGAACAAACCTGGGATTTGACCCCAGCCTAGAAACTCCTGAAAAATGCTTGTCCTCAGTTTTCAGATTTGCCAAAGAAAATTAACAGGCTTCTTTTCCCCCATTCACATCCAAATGTCTTCTTTTTCAGCTTCCTGTTAACTTGCTTTGATGTTTAAGGCTTCCACTTCACCCTTCTCAGCTACAGAGCTATCCTTGTTCCTGGTCTCCCTAGAGAACTCCTCTTGTGAGTCCTTTCCTGCCTGGAGTCATAGCTCTTCAGAAAATATTTGTTTAAATGATCCACTCATGCTAAGTGAAAAACAACCTGGGTTTTATGTGAAATGAGAGGTAAGCACTTCCCAGTCTTAACTAATCTGCTGTTCCCTTGACTCTTCTTAAAAGGTCTCTTTCAGGAAAGTGGGTTGGCTTCAGCTCACTTCAGAGAAGACAGATGTCTTTGTTGTAAGAATGTAATACATCTATGCTAAATATATAAGTAGGATGTTGTATTTGCATTTTGTTCTGCTGTCTCAAGCTGATGGAAAGAGTGCTATGATGGATGGCTTCCAAATGTTTTTATACAGCATAGGTGAATGAATAATGGTATAGGAAACCACTCTTCTAGGAAGGAGTTATTAGGAGGTTTCCTATATGAATCAAGAAATAACCCTTGAGTCCTTTTCTCCCTTAGATTTTTTTTTGGTTGGTTAGTTTGGTTTTGTTTTTATTTCTTTGGTATGAGCTCTGGACAGAAGGCTTTGCCTTTTCCTGGTACATTTACAAGTTTGAAAAATGCTAATTTGGGAGGTTTTGCTATTATTCTGTTCTGTTGCTGATTTCCCAAGCCTTCTGTCTTGTTTTGTCAAGTCCAGCCTTGGGTGAAGAAGTAGATTTGCCCAGGACAACCTATCTTATGCCACTTTATTTACTGTATGCTTATTTAAAAAGCTTCTTAGCTGTTGAAAAAATGCAGACTGGTACTGACCTGTTTTCCTAGGCTCCTGTATTGCTATCTATTCTCTTGTTTTGTATCAGGTAGCTTGTGAAAAGCAGGTCGGTCTTTTGTTCTGTCCTTGCTCTTATACATTACACAGTGCCTGCTACTCTTGCAGTGCCGTGACAAAACCAAACCAGTAGCAGAGCTAGAGTGACAACAGGCCACGTGTCATTCTCTTCCCATGAAAAAGCAACTGGCCTGTGAATTTTCAAGTGAGGCATCCTGTACCAAGGAAAAAGTTGTGTAAGTCCATCTTTCCTCATTTCAGTATTTTGCATTTCTTCAGGGAAAAAAAAGGTTGTCTCTGTAATGCACCCTGCTTCTAGGGAGTGTGCTGCTCCAGAGGAGATGAAAGCTGCCAGGTGTTCTCCCCTGGAAATCTCTAATGTGGATCTTTGTACTCCTGCTGGACATTTTTTTTCCTTCATATATATAGCTAAAATTGTTACAGTACAGTAGTGTTATATTTGGCTA